ACAACCAAGCTCAGAGAACCCCAAGGACTCCACAGTTCAACCCTGAGCTACGCATATTCGCTTCTACTGGTAGCTTTAATTCCATATTCTATTTCCCTATACACTTGACAATATAACTTAATATAATGTAAAAACCAGTTATAAACAATAATTATAGACTTTTTATTTTATAGGGAGTCTCTTAATTTCCTTGAAAATAAGGCACCTAGGTCTGTAGAATCATACATTAATGTCAAAAGATGCTCAATTATATACAGTAGATATAATGTATACATATTGTGACCACTATATATTGAATTAGAGCAAATTATTAGACTGATGTGATCAATTATGAAATCAGGTTGAGATGTTGAAGGATACAGAGGCACTTAAATTACAGGAGGAGACCAGGCAAGAAGAGATACTGTTATTATATACTCACCTGGATGAGAAAATTATCTGTCAAAGACATCTGAGATCCAGAAAGAATGAAGTAACTGTTCAAAATGTGAGAGCCCAAAGTGGGAAGGCTTGTACCTGGACCAGTCAGAAAAAAAAAGTCTGGATCCGAAGCATAAAAGAAACCTTAAAACTCAGACTCATTAGTGAAGACTTCATTAGACTGGGCACGTGCACAAACCCTGCTTACTAGTGTACTTCTTTTCAGTCTATCTAGAAGTACATCTCCTAGAAGAAATTTCAGATTGTTGTTATATCCCTAATAATCTGCCTTGCATCTTGGTAATAATTTTGCTTCATGTCACTGCTTTTACAGTTTTCTTTAAGACAGAAGAACAGCTTAGCAATGTTGGGTTGACATTGTTTTCTTGAAACATATTATATGCGGTAGTCTTGCCAGTGAACTACATGCATACTTGGTATTTGTGTTCTGTGAGTATATATGAAGTTTGTGTATGGAGTGTGCATGATCTTGAATGCACAAGTTTTTTTACTTCCCTCTGAGCCTCAATTTGGCTGAATGAGATTTTTTCCAAGGACAGATCAATTTGACCCATGGTGTGAATTAGGTAGAATATGCTAAAAGAATTGGCAGTAAATTTATTGGTTAAGGTTGTCGTCCAACACAAAAGCCATCAAGGCATACAACTGAACTAAATGAATAAATCATAGATTAGCTACTAACAGAATGACTCCTCTTTCTACATGAGATTCTAATATAGCACCCCAGGTCTGGTTTGAACTTGATTAAATCAAATATTGTCTGGCTTTTTGAGTATCTTTGAGGTTTTTGGGTGGGGGGGACTTTTTCACAACAGTAGTCATTCAAACTTTTGTGTATTGTGACTTTGTAAATTATCTGCTTCTTTCTTTCCCTCGTCTGTCTACAGACTCGACAACCTAGATTTACATTATTCAATTTATTTCCCGATTCCAGCAATTGGCTTCAATCCAGCCCCTTCAAATCTTCAGTCACTGTAGTCTGGAGATCATCTGACTCATACATTTCTATAGTAAAATTGGGAAAGTGCACCATTGTTGATTCTGTATTATCGCTAGCATATGTTCTTGAACATAAAAACTTGTTGGAAAAATATTGTGACTGAAACACAGTCTTTTTGATTCTAGAAAAAGTAATTTGATATACATGTAAGTCTAAGTACATTTTTTTTTCAGTTTTCCACTGTATTTTTTGTTGTGGGTGCCAAGAAAATAAAACAGTGTGTCCTTCCCGCCCCCCATTTGTCTTCCTTTCCAATTTTCTGTCTCTGTCAGGCCCAGCCCAAGAACAACAATGAAACAGTCCAGTCCAGTTCCTTTATTTGCTTATACCTTATAGAAAGAATCTTGCCAAACTAAATCTATACTACAGCAAGTAGTGGATATACCCTGTGAGATTCTAGGGAGTGGCTATCCTGAATCTCTTACTCTTCTCACTCTCCCCCTGTGGACTGTGTTGCCTTTTCTCTCCTTTCCCCTGCTGGAATGCACCCCCTCCTTCCTGATAGCCTTGATCCGCAAGTAGTGGATATACCCTGTGAGATTCTAGGGAGTGGCTATCCTGAATCTCTTACTCTTCTCACTCTCCCCCTGTGGACTGTGTTGCCTTTTCTCTCCTTTCCCCTGCTGGAATGCACCCCCTCCTTCCTGATAGCCTTGATCCCCCACATCACTCTCCTCCTCGTAGATACATTCCATGACAGTGTCCTTCTCCTGTTTAGATATCTGGTAACCCTGCCCAGGCTTGAACGGACAAATAAATCTGATTTGATTTTTACTCTTCTGCAGATGCCCCTGCAATAGATTATAATAATAGCCAGTCCAATATTTATAACAAGCAGTTTGAAAGATTTTTTTTCCCCTGACAGTGTTGGTATAAATGCAATCAAGTAAAATGTTTTTGGTATTCCCTGTATTCTAAGCTATGCTTGGTTTCCCATAATGTCCTTTTCATTTTCCCCAAAGCTAAGTTAGAGAATAAAGAGCATTCAAAGGGATAACTGCGTGAACTATATGAAGTGCTTGATTACAAAATAATTTTTAAGTGGAACCTAAGGAAAGATTTAACAATAAAATGAATAAACTATTCGCCTCACTGGGTTCTTCCTCATGGCCCCATTAAAGTGTTATCATCCAATCAGAGGGCTCATCCTCACAACCAAAGACTCTTCATGAATCATTTTTCAGTGACACATCCTCATTGTGACATTGCCTTTGTCTCATCCCCAGTCCATAGTGGAGATAGCTTAACATCATATTTTTACTGACAATTACTATTGGTACCATATCTGATCATAAAAATTTACTGACATGCTTCTTGAATTCTTTTTTTTTTTAACCCCCTCCTCCTCTGCCACAACATCTCCCAGGAAGGACAGAATTATATGATATTAATGTTCTTCTTTCAGGCTGCAACCATGCTACCACCACTGTAGCCAAATTTTGTGTGGCTGCAGTGAAAACGTGGCAACTAAAAATGTGACAAATTTGTTGGTTTGGACACATACCACTAATTTTATTAATTTAATCAGGGGGGTGATAAGCTGATCTTTGATCACAGAAATAAATTTGATTTGATTTGATTTTTACTCTCCTGCAGATGCCCTTGCAATAGATTATAATAATAGCCAGTCCAAAATTGATAACAATCAGTTTGAAAGGTTTTTCCCCCTGAAAGTGTTGGTATAAATCCAATCTAGAAATAAAAAATTGACCCAACACATTATCTTATTAATTAATTCTCCCGTCCAGGCTCCCAAATCTCCCAAATATTCTGTTGCATGAGCAGACATTCATTCATCTGACACTATCCAGCCGTTACTGGTCACTCTAAGCTAAAACTCTCATCGAGGGAGTTAGAGTAGACAATCACTGGACTTGCACAGAAAAGACTGTTCAAAATGTGATCAGCTACAAAGCTTTACAGCAATGCTTTGTATAAAAAGTAAGTTTGGACTGATTTGGGCAGTTAGCTGACAAGCATTGTACACCATCTAACGTAACACAGTCCTTTATGTGTCTACTCAGAAATGAGAGAGGCGTTGTATTTGGTAGAGATAGCAAGCAGGATGCCTTGCTGACCTTGTAAGAGATCAAAAACAACGTACGATCAGACCTGAACAGCTGTTATATGGGGGAACACCTAGAAAATCCAGGACTACAGGTTAGAACTGTAAGTCTCCAGAAGGAGACCCTGACATACCAGTTCTGCCCTTTTCTTAAGCAAAAGTACATGGACCGTCCCATCAGACGTCAAATTTGATTTGAAGGCTATTGTACTTAAAGACTGCAGCCTTAGGGCATCTATACACATACCATTTGTCCCGCTTCTGGCTCATTTCCATGCCCCTCCTGATCCCTGTTGTCTTAGTCGTGGAGCTTATTTACTGCCAACTTAGCTGCAATGCATCAGACATCGCCAGGGTCCCGCACTCTGTTGGACACTCCAAAGAGCTTGCGTCAGCTGCTTTTCAGCTTCTGGGCTCTCCTCCCTCTCCACAGAGGAGATTCAGTTGCGGCGGCAGCAGCATAGTCACACGTTATCATTTCAGCTCGATCACTGTCCTCTGTTGTGTCGACTGTTTGCAAAATCACCAAACGCGACCACAGCGTGGAAAGGGCAAGGTTCCGGCTCGTGCTGTTTTCCTGATTTTTAGCTCTCTGCTACCGGTCAGCTGGGTGGAAGGTGTACAGGTCAGCTCCTGTGGAGTTCCCAAGCGGTCAAAATTAATTGTTACACGGCCTTAGACTTTTTGAGAGTTTGGGGAGAGAAAACGATGTGCAAGGGAACATTTTGCAAAAGAGCTAGAACTGTGGCATTATTGCCTCTTTAAGACACTCAGAAGGTGGTGCAACCCTTTGCCCGGACAGCAAATCGTTTCTCCAACAATGGGAAATACGTACTGCTTTTAAAAAAGATTTGCTTCCAACAGGATTGCAGCTTACGAACAGCGTTTTCTTCATTTATTTTTAAAAGCCTTATAGGGACAGCGTATCTTGGGAAATGCCAAGAGTCAGAAGAGTATGCCTGTCCGTGCAACTACGACCACAGCTTCTCCTTCCCCTTCAGGTTTCTGATTCAGGATACAGAAACTTACAGAAGCAGCCGCCTCCACGCCCTCCCCGTTGCAGCTCCGCTTTCTGCCCCGCCGAACGCGCTTTCCTGCAGGTGGCGTCGTCACTGACCGAAGCGCCTTTTGAGAAGATGTGAGGAATATTGTTCCTCCTCGCGGCCGGTCGCTGGAAAGGTTTCGTTTTGCTGACGTGTGACTTTCGAAGTCCTCTTTTGGACACGCCCCTTTCCTCCTACTCCGCCGCCTTTCCTCCCTCCCCGTCCGGACTCGGGGCTACGATGGCCGCTACGTGGGAAGAAATCGTCAAATTGTCTCAACAGTTTCAATCCGCTCAGTTCGCTCAGGCGACGCAGAGGTGAGGGGAGGGGAAAATATTTGGCAGGCGGAGCGAGGAGGAAGACCCCCCCCCCGGTCACGAATTACGGCCCCTTCGAACCCGCCCGCGGCCCCCCCCCCTGGCCTGTTACGGCCCCC